CCGAATACTGACTGATTTTTTCAGCTGTCTGATTAACATAAAAATACATCAGCGATACCTTTACTAATCTTTCTTAGCTCTTTTACATGTCCTCAACCTTTCTTTTCCTTTAATGCTATTTGAAAAAGCAAAAGGGAATCTTTCTATTCTTTCCAGCCCTCCTTTTCAAATTTTTTTAATTGGAAAAACTGGAAACATAAAAACCATTCAACAAGCAGAATTTAAGAACTTAACACTAAAGAAGACGTTTTAATTTTTACTGGACATGATCCTGCTGCACAATTGTAAAAAAGTAGCAGTAGCAGCTCTAAAGGCATCAGAATAACAGTCTTGCATTAGAATGCCCAAAGGTGCAGAATATTTCCCCACAAATTCTTTAATAAGTGAGATTTCAAATCAATGGAAAAACTGACGTTGACTGAAGAAAAGTGATGAAAATGGGCTGAAGTGATGAAAAGGCAGTGTCCTCAGCTCGGCTGTTGATGATGAATGTCAATGACTGACACAGCTCAGGAAGGACCTGACAGCTGAGAACACTGACGCCTCTATTACCAGCACTGCAAGCAATACTGCTAGAATACCTACTGCTATTCTTCTGGGAATCATACATGGATCTTAAGATCTAAGATCACTTTATTAGCCATATACAATTTCTTGCATTAAGAATGCCTTGCTCAGGGGCAAAATGGAGTTGGATTCTTCTGCCAACCACAGGATTTGAACATTTGCATTCTTGTCATGAACCACAAAAATCAGGAAATCAGTGCATCTCGCTTTGTCTGCCATTGTCTAGGATTTTTGTTTTCACTATGCGAGTGAAACAGTTTTCAGTTTATAGTCTGAAATGGTCTTTGAAAGGATCCAGTGATGTGTTCAGAAAAACAATGCCAGGTAATCTTTTTCACAGCTTGAAGAACAAAACAAGACAAAGAATGTGCATACAAAATGCCTATATTTCTCTCTCAATATGTGTGCCTGTGTATTTTGGTCTTATAAGTAATATTAGGACGTGGCAAAGGTTTTTAAAGAAATGTCAGCATTCATTCGAGTCCATGAAACAAGAACAAGCAATACTGTAAAAGGGGTAAAATTTTCCTCACAGAAATCCAGCGGGAGGCTGCGTGACTGAAGCCGATGGCTGGAGTGTTATGCTGACGGCAGGGAGGAAGTGTCTAATTCAGGCCCTCACCCTGACCCTCCGCCTGCTGCACCTGTAGCTGTGTCTGACAAAGGGGCTCAGGACTCTGGAATTATCTGCCATCTGCCCCAGAGGAATGCACCAGGCCCACCTCCCTTCCTCCCAAAGTATGTTTCACGGCCATCCATCACCCTCTTAACTAGTCGCATTTTCACATTCCTGCCCTGCCTCCACTTCAAAGCTGTGTCTCACAATGGGGTTTAAAATAAAACTCAGTTTGCCTTTTACACAAACATACACAGGTTTAAAATCACAGTACATGAATACGCACACACAGGTCTATGACTGAAGTAAAAATTTCTTAGCAGAAAACAGTCTAGAAAATGGACGTTGGCGATGGACAGAAATCGATACAGAGAACTACAGCTTCAGACAACAGCCTCTTATAGCACACTACCCTCCTCGTACAGTCTAACTCCAATTACAGGGCTAATTCATTCGCCACCCTACACAAAGCCATGTGAGAACTCCGGCTGGATTCTGCAATGGGAAGCTCTTTTACACTCACTCCCCTGAAGGTGAGGTGTGAGAAAAAGCATCAGTGGGAAAGTGGCTTGACCTCAAGGGTCACGCAGTGAGAGTTAAGGGTCAAAGTTGGATGCCAGATAAGAGTTTCGAAGCACTCGCGCCACTTTTAGACAATACCACATTTTCAAAAAAAATCCGCCTATGTATGTGTATGATGATATCACAACTTTAAAAAAAGACACGGCTTTTGAGACCTGAGTATTAACCAGTCTTGCATGAGATTACATGTTATAATGAAAAGCAGAAATCAAGAGGCAATATATTTGTTAAGTTACATTAATTAAGCCAAAAACTAAGTGAAGCACATTACTGGATAATACTCAAGAATGAGAATGTAGTCACTATAAAACCAAGTAGTGGCAAATATTCTGACTTGTTTTTCAGGAACATTTACAGGACAGTATTTACTTTCTATTAAGTATTTATCATAATACCATCGAGGGTACACAAGGATTTCAAAATTTACAAAGTATTCACATGTTTTCATAAAGAAGTAATTATTCTGTAAAAAAACACTTAAGATTTACAGAAACGAAAAATATGCCAACTTATGTTTAAATTATTCTACAATCACGGTCCATATCATTATGAAATGTATTATGTCTCATACATTGTCTACTCTTTCTCCCAGAAGTTATGAAACAGCTCACTCCTCTCTGTATAACTGAACATCTTGGACAGCCTTTTATCATGAGTCCATCATGAGACATGCATAATCTTCTTTCTCCCGAGTGTCTACGGGACTGACTACATTTTATACAGGACAGCTAAAAACATCTGTAACAGTCAATTCTGAGCACTGGAATAGCACTTAGGAAAAGGTGAAGTCAGGATCTCTACATGAACATTTTGATTCTAGAAATAATTTCATGATTTTCATTTTTTAAAGATAAAAAGAGCCATAGTTCAAGATTTTGGAAATTTGGAAATTCTTCCTTCTGGATTTTTTTCAAGACCAGAACAAACACAGTTCACACTCTCAAACATGATATGCCCATCAGCCTAACAGTCCCAATGGGGAGACAGTAACAGCTCCAGCAGCACAGTCACTCAGTGCCACCAAGCAACTGTTAGAATGTCAGACAGAACGGACGTTAACCAGTATTTCAACAGAGGCATTTAAGTACTTTCATAGCAGGTTAGAAACCTATTTTTAACACAATTAGGGTATAAAATAACTTTGCTGCCCATCAAAGAGGCAATTTTCATTTTTGGAAGTTTGAATAGCACTTAATGGTTGTATTGTAATGCTGTTGGAAGCTACATGTAAGAGACAAGTCTAGTGAGAAAATGTTTTCGTCTAAATAAACAAAACTCCAGCTAGAAGTTTCCAATGTAATAGAAAACATCTACCACAGCACACATTTCTCTGATGTTACCTATCACAAAAGACCAAAAACACTGTAATCACAATAAAGCCTACCACCTAAAGAAAAACTGGTATATAACAGAGTAAGAATATGAAAAACTTATATAGATAGGAGTGCAACTAAATAAAACATCAGCCTGACGAGCTAGCCAAAAATCAGGTATAGCTACAACATAGACTCACCAGTAAGAATGCTACCTTTTTCATTGTTCGATTCCCCATCTTTCTGAGGGGGAGCTGTCCTCCAATACCCAGGATCCACAGAATTACAAAACTTAGACTGCCAGCTGGAGCTCTGAGGAAACCCAGCACACTCGCCTTCTGGGACAACGGTAATGAAGGAGTCGGGCAGCGGAAGTTCGCTGATCTGAAAGGTATCTGCACTGCCTCGATTGCATCTGCCACTCCAACATGCAGAACAAAAACAAATGGCATATTTCGCATTGGTCACAACTTCCATGTGTTCAGAACACATGCATGCTAAAGTGGGCTGAGGACAGGGGAGACATTACTCAGCACTAAAACCACATTCCAGACTCCCTACTCCCTGACCAGCAGAGGTCAGTCCAAAGTAAAAACTATTTGCCTGCTCTTTCAAAGTCAGAGCATAGGACATGCTCACACCTACGAACTGAACTTCAACATACATTTGCTTCACCACTGAAGACGAAGCATTTCATTCAGGCCACGACACAAGATCCACAACTAACAGCCATCACCCTACATGGCATCTTTCATGAGGCCATCGTGACTTGAAAGCGATGGGACAGAAAATGTTTAGCACCAACAGACCTGAATTATGTCAAATGTGATCTGAAAACATCAATTCCACTCATTCCTGCCTTTCAGTGATTGGGACCAGAACTACATACACCAACTGCTAGAAGCTGGCACTGGCTGTCACTGCGCAGAGACACAGAAGAGAGACGGGTGGAAGACATGCCCTTGACAAGCATAGGCTGTACTCGCCCCTCACCCCCTTTTCAAACTTTTCCCCATAACTGTCACACAGTTATTCTGGACCACTTCCCTTCAAAAAGGGAATGTTCTGTCCTCACGTAATCTGCAAATAGTAACCCACAGTGCACAATAATATATCAGCTCGACTACATGGACACTCCAGCTACTGAGTGTAACTGCTGACAAGGCACGACACTGTTGAATAAATATACTCTTCTTAAAATGTCAAACACAAGACACAGGGCACTGGACGAGGCTCGTGCCAACCCCTCACGTTACTCTCTCTCACAAATTATTTTTCCAACTTCATTTCAGAGCTTTCGTGTAATGTTCCATGGAGGACCTTTAGTGGAAAGACAGCCCCTCGTGCTTAAAATGTATCAAGGCCACACAGAATCCTTTATCAATAGTTGTGGCAAACTTTTGTTTTCCTGTTTGGGTCATTACGTCAAAAAGAATGTTTTATCAAATGACTGCATTGTTGGTAAGTTATATAACCCTAGAACAGAAATGGTATTTTGTACTCTGGGTCAGGGAACGCAGTAAGACTGTTGCAGATTTGAAGTGTAATGTCAGAGGAGCTCCAGAAGAGGGTACCAGTTCTCCAGTTTACAGTAAAATTGGTTTCCAAGAACAACACTGTGCTTAAAAATAAAACACAAGAACTTTTCACACCCTGCTCATCCTTCTTTGAAAGCAAGTTTCCATTACTTTTAAAGGCACCAAAATGGCACAACTTCTGCTGGCTCCTAAATGAATTGCGCATTTGCCTCAACACAAAAGCTGTAAATCCTTAAGTTCTGGGTTGAACAGACATGGCCTGACACTTCACAGATGAGCAAGGTGTCTTTCTAGCCATCAGTGAGCAAATTGGACACTGATACCTTTCAAACAGCAGATAAAAAGCATCCCAGCCATCCTACGGCTTGAAAAGCACGAGCTTACCTGCGTCTTGATGAGAGAGGGCGGTGTTTGGTGCTGCTGCTCTGAGGAGATGTCCATGTTGTCATTGGGGTCTGTAACACTGTTCCTTTGCGCCGGTGAGTGGAGGTGACCCCCCTCCTCCTCCCGCCCGCTGTCCTCTGAGCGCTCAAAGTCATCGCTGTCCTGGTCCATCTCCTCCTCCTCCTCCTCCTCCTCTTCCTCCAGCCCCTCCTCTTCCTCCTCCTCCTCGGCCTCCTCTCCCACTTCCTCTCTGACCCCGCGGTTTTCCTGTCGCTCCTCGGGATTGGCCGCCTCCTCCTCGCCGGCGTGCTGGCCGCTGTTGTTGTTCTCCTCCTCCTCGTTCTCCTCATTCTCCTCCTCTTCCGGCGGCTCCTGCCGGCCCTCTGCGTTCCACATCCACGCAGGGCGCTTTCCCTCCCCGTTCACCTCGTTCCCCGCCGCCGCCGCCGCCGCCGCCGCCTCTTCCTCATCGCGGGCCCCCGACTCCCCAGAAGACCACTGCCCCTCGGCCCCTGCCGGCGCTGGCTGCGGCTGCTGCTGCTGCTGCTCTTCCTCCACCACGCGGTCCATGTGCTCCTCCTCCTCCCCCTCTCCGCCCCCTTCGTGGGGCGCCCTGGCCGAGGAGGCGTTACCTCGCACAGAGCCACCCGGCCGCCGCCTCCTGCTGCCCCCAGACAGCAGATCCTGGTTCATTTCCAAAAGCCAGCTTGCTACCTCCTGGACCTTTGCTAGACTGTCTGAGGAGGAGAAGGGCTTGGCATTCTGAAAAGACAAGAGGGAAAAGAGAGCGAGACCATGAATACTTGGAAACTTCTTTCAAAGTAACCTCCAGCTCGTCCTCCACCGTGCCCCCTGTTCAGACATTGTTCGACGGAAGAGGAATTATGAGCCCTTTTTAATTGGTAATTATGACGCATCTTTTATTCATGTCTCTGTAATGCTTTTGAAAAAGGCGTCATTAGCATTTGTGCGAGAAGAGACGCGTGATTTAATTATCTCTGAAACAAAAGGGCGTTTTGATGGCGTAGCTGTGGTAACCAGCCACAGCCCATCCTTTGCAAGTGCTCTCATGAAGCAAGGCAGAGGTTCAATATGGAGAATACGCAACCTGAAACCCATGCAGATGCTGGGATCAGGTTCCTGCTGCCCATCAGGAGGCACTCAGCAAATGTCGAGGGAAAAGTTAAGAAAAGAACAAACTCAACTAATCAGAAGACTCAATTTCTTTCAAGACACCTTGGCCTCATTAGAAGGATTCAGTTGAAGAAAGATTTAAAAAAAACATTAATATAAAACGACACCCATAAGAGTAGAGAATCGGTAGAATAAGATATTCAACAGAGGATTCCTTTCACCGAAGGTTCCTGAAATTTTGGCAATTACAAAATTACAGGCTTTTTAGATTGTAAATGAAACGCTCTGCAGTGATGCATTCCGCAGGCTCTTTTTAAATTGATTTTAACCTCCTCTTTTGGCTGTAGGGAACTCTTGAGAATTCTTATGCAGTAACAAAAGTCTTCTGTTTTCCACAATTAAGTGTGCACAGTAAAAAGGTTCTGCTTCTGAATCTATTCCTGTTTGCATTTCATTGTAATGAGATACTGAAAAATCATTTTCTTTCCATTGTCCTTTAGTTTCCAAGAGGTTTCATGATCATCCTGTTGACAGTCAATTTGTTACTTTATATGACTCTACATATTTATACCAACATTTTCAAGATCTTAAAGTAACACCAAACTTACTTTTACATGCTGACTTCACTATGTATTGTATAGGCTGTACAAAGACATTCCCGTTACATAATATTCATGACTGCTCCTAACAACAGATGCATACAACTGACAGTGTGGGATTCGAGACCATGCCTCACATATTTTATGATGCAAAACCACAGCCACCTCACCTTCTCAGGTAGGGAAATGCATAAACATGATCTCTATTTAACAGTCTGTGAACTCTTAACTAAATTAAATGAAAGGTGATGATTTAAAGATTAAAACCTCATAATAGTGAGCACTATTATATTACTTGCTGGGGAATACCAGGTCAACGTTCCAAAGAAGCAACAATTTTCAAATAATATTTAATACATAAAGTTCATCTGTACTCATGACAAGTAATTTACTGCAATAATTCTGCGACTTTTTCATTTATCAACAGCGTCTGTACTGGGCAGAGGTGTCTGAGGATCATACAGGCTGAAAACAGTGGGGGGGGGGGCTGGAGGGGGGGTGTCGGTATCTTGTGATGGATTTGGTGAAAATTCAAGGTGACAGACAGCAATGTGATTGTCTTCAAGAAGTAGCTCGGCTCAAGCAGTCAGAGAGGAAATGTCTTCGAGATTTGAGGAGAACTGTGGGGATCCTAGACTCAGCCTTCCAGAGTATTCTACTCTCCTTCCATGGCCGCAGACAAAACCGAGCAGGGCTGAGTGAGAAAACCCCCATCTAGGAGGCTGTGTGGAAGATGTCTCTGCTGCCATTATTCTTTATCTACTCTGTCAGGGATCACCTTAAACTTTTAAACTTCAGCCCCAGCTAAATCAATTCAGATTTTTGTCTCTGGGGCACTCTCTTGAGAATTCTGTTCTCTTAGCCTGACTCCTCTGGCCCCTGCCAGATCAGTTCATCCCTCCTCTTTTATCTCCACTAATCCCCAGCGTTGGGAATCACAAACTGTGTTTCTCCTGCTTTCTGTTCTTTCACATGATTTACTTGTAAAACAGGTGGCTGAGCCACTGAGCACCTTCGACCTGAGTCACACAGACCAGCTCTGCCTTTTTGAAGAGCCGAGTGGTAAAGGAAGATTGCCTGCAGGAGGCACAGGCAAAACAATGCATTCGGAACTACGGGTGGTTTCTCAGGATTGGGCTCTCTTTAGCCAGCCAGTCCGTTTAGGATAGTATATACTGAAAACAGTCGTTGTGACTTTGATGTTCCAAGAGTTTATTGTACATGTGCAATGGAATGCCTGAAACCCTTTCACAGAACATTTATTTTCCAAATAAATGCAAAAGGACGATTCTCCAGTTCCAACATAATTTAGAACTGTTCTCCCCAAGCAGTGTTAAAGTCAAGGAAGCATGGCTCTTATACCAGCTTTTCATTTCTGGGCCCATGGCAGTTTGTTTGCCATGCCACCTCAGTTACAGCAACACAGCCATCTTTACCAATGCTGATTTAGACTTACAAAAACAACCACACACCTCAGGAACGTATGGCCTTTTATCATACTTTAGTCTTCTTCACACAGGATGATGAGCAATGAACATGCTGAGGCAGATCAAGCTTTTCACTCAGTTTCAAAATTATAAATGATTACGCAGCTTTCTGCAGAATAATGAAGTCTCAGTTTGTCCAGAAATATCCATAAATACATTAACCGTATTAAATTAAACATCCATTTTAATCATAAATACCTACGAAAAACATCATAATTGAGGCGTGTGGTTAAAACTGTCTGGTGATACTTCATTTAATTTTGTCTTAATTGGACAAAGTGAAGTTTAGATCTTATGTTTTAGATTTTTTTTTCCAGAAAATGTCTTAGACTATAACACATTCTTAACCCTTGCCTTTTTGTTTGTACTACTTTTGTGGCCAGTGACAGACTGGGATGTTTTTGGTGAGAAACACCTAAAGGATCAGCATTTTCTCTGATTACAAGTAAAAGTAGTAAGGTGTGATATTAAGGAAGTGAAAGAATTCTCAAAGCCAGACATACTAGATTGTTTACAAGGCTCAACTTAAGGGAAATATTGATATGTGTTTATTCTTCTAAGTATTTGATTTCAGGTGAATAAGGTCTTTAAAGAGACAGGAGTTTACAAATCTCAAGATCCAGTTCCACACAACAAAAATCAAGAGATACTGTGGATCATACAAAGACTCAGCTTAATGCACCCTCTAACAAGTTGCCTAATGAAGAATGGCCTTAAACCTCAGGCATAAAAATCCCTATCTTGATAATCTGTGCCGATCAACCACTTCCAGAGCTCCTGCAAAGCACAAAAAATGCCCCTACAGCCATATGCATAGCCAACCTTACACCACATAGCTAAGATTCACTCCACATGAAGAGATTAACAGACTTCTGTTATCAGTTAAGTGTTGTGAAGCAACTATTACTGTGATCTAATGATCTAAAACACATTACACAGTACAGTCACTGTGATACCCATTGATTCACGTGTAGATGTCAAAATGCACACTGGCTTCTCCAAGGTGTGCGGTCTTGAGCTTTGCTTATTTAAGGGTGTAACATCAAAAAGCACATTCACCTTAATTTAATTGAACCTTATTTAAGATACTAGCCAAAAATCTAGTGCACATTAAAATATAAAGTTAAATATGATGGAAAAATATCACATTTTCATTAGCATATAATGATACACATTGATACACATTTTATGCAAATGTATGCAGATAATGTGGAAAGATAACATTAAGTATGCAAATAACACCGGCATGCTATTTATTAAGCAGAGCAAAGTGTAACTATGGTAGTATGAGCTCACCAGCACTGTGGGAAAGGCGGCATTATAAACTCACATGTCTGCGATATCGAGTGACAGCACTGGCCACGGTATAAATGGGCAGCTTAAGCAAAAATGACAGATGAGAAAAGGTAAAAAAAAATATCAGATCTGGGGAGCAGGCCAAGTGTTTTCAATGCCACACAAGCACTCTGACAGAGAAAGATATATTAGGTACAGGCTGAGCACAAACACCAGGTTCTTCTGGCAACACGAATTCATTGGTCATGCCAATACAATTCTTTGAATCTGAATTGGAATCAAAGCAATAATAATGAGTAAAAATATATTAAAATATTAACATTAATTAATTTCTTGAGGGGATGAAACTGTCCTCTCTCGGTAGCCTTTTCTTACAAAGCTAGGAGTAAAGCAAGAAAACCAAGATGTTTATCAGCTGACATCAACAACTGAAGGCAGAAAACTACATCACTATGCATGCACCATTTATAAAATACAGAAGCAGATATACAGTATAGTGGATATCAAGAAGTATTCATTCCCTTGGACTTTATCACTTTTTATTGTGTAACAATATGGAATCATAATGTATTCAATTGTGATTTTTGCCACTGATCGACACAAAACACTCGAAGGATTGTAGTGAAAACAAAATTCTACAGATCCCTCTAAATTATGAATATAAAACAGAAAATAACTGATTGCATACTTCAATTAAAGACGAGCATAAAGAAGCTCATAATGTCATCCTCACAGCCAAAGTACAATAAAAATTAAAAACATTCCAGATCTTAAAAAAAAAGATTCAGAGAAATGATTTAACACCAGCATTTGAAAAAGAAAAGTTTCTGTCAATGTTAGTATGCTGTGGTCCATTAGTTGCCTCAAGTTAATTGCTTGCAAATGCCCGTGCGTGACTTCAGCTGACGTAAACGTTTATGTATGCGTCACCTGTGAGCAGGCAAGCTTGCACCGCGCAGGATTACAAACCAGATCTCTCAGCTGCAGTGGAAACCCTGCTCAAGCAGAGGACAGGGATGTTGCTCATTGCTGAAACCTCGCCATCAATAAGTGATTCATGGCTCATCCTTAGGGAATCACGATTGCCAGCATCCCGCCGGTGAACGTAAAATGTGAAATAATTATCCGGCTCTCACGGCGCAATAATTGAGCCACACGAGCCCCTTCCTCCACACGTCCCCCTGCTGTCTGACACACTACAGGGCAACGGATGGACATGGCAGAGAGCTGTGCAGCCTGGGAGTTC